CAGCCCCGGTGCTGGGGGGGGGAGGGAGGGAGTGTGTGTGAGATTTTGGCTTCTCGTGCTCAGTTTTTAGAAGTTCAGCGCGATTCTGCGATCAGAGGTTAGAGGCAGCGTTAATCACAAAGCTGGGGTCCCCTCCCTGAGCGCGTAATTACTACCCGGAGAGGTGTGCGCTCGGAGAGTCTGGGTAGCTAGGAAACAAGTGCTCTCAGGATTATAAACGCGGTAATTTAGCGCTGCTGCTTTTGATGTCTCATTATTTATGGACTGATTCTCCAGGATTCGGCCTCACGCAGGCTCCCCGGAGAATGTCCCGGGTGCAGGAGGTGGGTGCTGTGCCCGCGGGGAGGGACCCGCCGGCAGCCAGGGGGGCATTGAAACCAACGCTGGGACCTGGCATTGACCCTCTTTTCAAAGAGGACTAAAACCCGTGTCCGGCCCCTCCTGCCCTTACAATTTCTTGCTGACTCCTGTAACTCGATGATTTATTCTGAAATCTGTTTTGGAATCCGCCTTCCTTTCCAAGCGATGAGACGTGGAACCCGGCGCGGCCCTCGGCTCTGGCAGATGTGCCTGTAAAAATACCCGTCCCTGACACCTCAAGTTGATGTCAGCGAACGGGAAAACGTCTGCTGGTTACAAGTTAGGATCAGAAGTCCATTTCTGGGGACGGGAACCAGCATCTTAATTTTCCCAAAGTGCTACCAGTGGCTGCACGTGAAGGCAAACGCTCTGGAGTTCCTGATGAGAAGCTGGAGCTATTCCACGCTCGGCCCCGGAGGGTGACGTGCGGGGCTTTGCCGCAAACAAGGTTCGCAGGGGCTGTTCCCTTGAGCTTCAGCTGTGTGCTCGGACCTGCCCACCGGCTCCTGCAGCTCGGTTTCGGGGGGGGGGGGCCGCCCGCCTGTGCCGGGGAGCGGCTGACGTGACAGGTCGGAGGCGAGGAGCGTGTCTGACGGGTCCCCCCGTGCCTCTCCCCGGCTGCGATGGGGTGCTGCTCCCGAGGCAGGGCACCCCACGTTCCCGGGGTCCCAGCCTGGCCCCGCGTTTGCTGCAACCACGGGTTCCAACCCACATCTCTTGCCACGTGCCTTGCAGGGCCTCTCCATGCCTTCCTATCTCTCTAGATCTCTGCGGGCAGCCCCTTCAGCCGCAGCCCTTCCCAATTCGTTTGTGGTGGAAATAGTATTTTATGGGTGATGGTACGTTACAGAGCTGCAGTTCTGGTGCCTCAAATGTGTTCGTTTTCAGTGCCTCGGACTCTTGAGATCAGAAATGGATATATTTTGCTTAAACCTTAGTTTAATCAATACCTTAGATGTTGAAAAAGACAAAAAGGAAATAATTATCTAATTGGGAAATGATTTCACTTTTGACGAAAACTTAAATATACTGAAACCCAAGTTTTGGTCAGTTTCTGACATGCATGTTACAGTCAAATCAGAAATGGATCCAGAAATGGATCAATGTTGTTCTTCACATTTTCAGGCACTTTTTACATCTCCCATGCTTGGGATCAACATTTTCAAGAACCACTTATTGATTTTTCTGGAAGTAGTTATGTGAGGATCTATCTTTTGAAATGCAACACAGCTTGTTCAGCCTCTTTAACTGTTAAAACCTAAAAGCATTTTTCTAATTTATACTGAAAGATGTTGATACTTAAACTGAACCTTGAGAAAACCATCTTGACTGTGAATTCTACTGGCTTATGGAATGACCTGCTCAGGGGGACAGTAGAGGATACACTAGCAAAAAAGGGTCTCACTTAATAGCCTCCAAATGCAATTAAAAGGTTTTTTATATTAATAAGATTCCTGAAAAGCCCGTAAATAATCCAGTTTGTTTTTATATCTAGATGACTTTAAACCTGCATCTATTGATATGTCCTGTGAAGGAGACCTTGAAGTTGGCAAAGGTGAACAGGTGACAATAACACTGCCAAATATTGAGGTGAGTGGTGGGCCTAAGGGAATGACTGATCTTATTGTCTTAAACTGAATATAGAAGGATGTGAAGTTTCAGTGCTGTTTCAGAGCTGCTTCTGTGATTTTTAGAGTAGCAAACCAATTGCCCTAAGAAGGTATAATTACAGAAGACCTAAAGGTTAAAAAGCTGCTCTGTAACTTTAAGTGCCTTCACAGCATTGGAAATATGCTGTAGGATGACCCAGAAGTGTTGAGTACACAGAGACACTGCGTGTGGATGTTGGCACTGCAAGTTTCCCCTTGGTATTTACTGCCCTGCTGCAGTCCTAAAGCAGGAAAGACTGGAAAAGGAAAATTTACTACCTGCCATTCTTTACTGCTCTGCTGATATGGTAATTGAAAGCCCTTTTGGTAAAAGGAGGCCTGCAGTGAGCACACTGTCATTGGGAAATAAGCATTTCATCAGTTTCAAACTAAGCTGAGCTGAGTCTGTTCCAGTCAGTCACCAGCTGCTTTTAGTTGTGGCTTCTCTGAATCTAATTTGAAGGAACTGATAACATTTTTAGAGGCTAGAAATGATCACTTGTAGTGAACTTGCCATCACTGTGATGGATTGTTGTTTCTAATAAAAACAAAAGTAGACTACAGTAGTAACACTTACTGGACTTCTGATTGAACAGGGCTCAACTCCACCAGTGACTGTGTTCAAAGGCTCCAAGAAGCCCTACCTAAAGGAATGTATCTTAATTATCAACCATGACACTGGAGAATGTCGCCTAGAGAAACTTAGTAGCAACATCACTGTGAAAAAAACCAGGTGGGTGACTTACAGGGGAAACTACCGTGCTTTACTTATTGTGAAAATCGCTTTGTTAATGAGTCTAAATTGAGATGCAGGACTACCTGTTACTGTTTTTAGCAAAACATCATTTTTAGGAAGTCCTTGGCCTTGTTCAGTAGGGTGAAAAGCCTGCTTCCCCAGCTTTGGAGTCTTGGCTGGAGGAAGAAGTGGGCATGTTGGTTTTTTTAGCTAAAAACTGTCACGTCATTGAAAGAGATGGTAACTATTTTCTGATGAGTTTAAAGGGGGGAGAGGGAAATCTGTTTGGAAAGTAGCTTGGCCTACTGTCTTCTGACTTCTAAATGAGAAAATAAAAAAGGATAAATTCTGTGACATGCTTCAGTAATATTAATGGCTTGTTTTTCTTGTGCCAAGTTTTGGTATACTTTTTTTTTTTTTTCCTGCTGCTGAGTCCACTTAAGTAATTTCCAGCAGAATTATTATTATTAAATGATCTTTGGTAGCGTGGTATAAAAAAATATCAACTGAGAAAGGGTTCCGGAGTTATTGGCACTGTTATTTTTATTTTTATTTTAATGCATCTATATATCATTATATGTCATTATAATAAATCTAACGATGCTGCTTAGAGAGGCAGGACACATAATTCTGTAACTTAAGGTACTGTATCCCCTGCATTTTTGCCTGCTTCCTTGCATCTTGTCTTCTAGAGTAATTAAAGAATTGTTGCTTTTACACACAGGGCTGATGGAAGCAGTAAAGTCCAGTCTCGCATAGAGCAGCAACAGCAGCAAATGCGAAATGCAACCAAGGTTCCAAACAGCATCAAAAACTCTCCACCCAAAGACAAGATGTTTCCGTCTTCTCCTATGGATGATATTGAACGAGGTAAGCTCCACTGTCACCCAAGTGACAGAAACTTTGCTCTTCACTAGCAACTTGTTCTTAAGAGCCAAGGGTTTTTTTGTTTGTGTGTATTTTATTTTTAATTATTTATTTCTTAATACCTATTACTTTTTTTTTATTTTGCCTTTTTTTATTTTGCCTTTTTTTATTTTGCCTTTTTTTATTTTGCCTTTTTTTATTTTGCCTTTTTTTATTTTGCCTTTTTTTATTTTGCCTTTTTTAAATTTTGCCTTTTTTAAATTTTGCTTTTTTTTTATTTTGCTTTTTTTATTTTGCTTTTTTTTATTTTGCTTTTTTTATTTTGCTTTTTTATTTTGCTTTTTTTTATTTTGCTTTTTTTTATTTTGCTTTTTTTTATTTTGCTTTTTTTTATTTTGCTTTTTTTTATTTTGCTTTTTTTATTTTGCTTTTATGGTTCACACTAGATGCTGATTACGTAGACACTTTACCCTCATATGGAAGTGACCACTCTGGCTTGAGTGGTAGCAAAGCAGTATTTGAAACTTGCTAATGTCAAAAACTTAAATGAAGGGTTAGGCTTAATAAAGCCCAGGGTCTCACTGCCCTCTCTCTTTGACTTTTGTCTCCCACTGCTACTTAAACAAGTGTGGGGTTGGTTGTACTCGAACCACCTGAGTCACTTCTATTTGGACACTGCTCCTTCTGTCTCTGCCCTCAGAAAACACATAAGTTACCATGTTTTACAACTGAAAATACATTTTAAACTCTGGGA